CCTCCTGGATAGCTGTCACGAGAAGATAATACCTATATCGAATTAGGAAGATAGAAATTCAATTATATCTGGGAAAATATTAGACCAAATATGTGTAAACAACAGCTCACACAAGGATCTGAGTGCTTTCTCGAGAACGTAATAATGTGAAAATATTATTTTTATTCCTCGATTCTTTAAATCAAATAAAAAGCAAAAATGATGAACAGTGCTTAGAATAATTTCATTTTGATGCGGATCCGGATCTGAATCCTGGATCCGCTCTGTAAATAAATGGATCCGGATCCAGGTCTTGACATTTACGTAGGATTTACTTTTTTGCGCGTATTTTTATGCTAAAACTTAATGAAGTTTTAATGATTGCTCTTTAGTAAGCTGTTAAGAATTGTGTTAGTTGGTGTTTTGCCCCTTGGATCCGGATCCAGATTCGAATCTTAAGGACTAACTATGAAGAATAAATAAAGTTCTTTCTAAAAGGCCTCTAATTTTAAGCATATTCAAAATCACATAATATATATAATCTTTAAATTAAATTTCTTTTATATTCTCGACGCTTCAGGGGGTTTATATTTTCTTTAAAAATCCCCGCCCCCTTCCTTCCTTCCCCCTCCAGAAGTTGGGTTGGGAGGGGGGGGGGAGTTCTTGAAAATACACACCTTGCCTTTGTCCTTTAATGAAATGGGGCTTCTTGATTTCACCCTTATATATGGATATTTATGAAGGATCCTGATTCAGATTTGATTTGATTTGATCCGGATTCAGATCTAGCTGATCAACTTGATCCGGGTCCTAATAACACTATTTATTGTTTTATTGATTTTATTTAGGTTCGGTTTATAACAAGGATCTATCATCCTAATATTGACAAGCTCGGCAGAATCTGTCTTGATATTCTCAAAGGTAGGATTAATTTAATAACTAGCTCATCAAGGTTTAATTACTAGCTCATCAAGGTTTAATTACTAGCTCATCAAGGTTTAATTACTAGCTCATCAAGGTTTAATTACTAGCTCATCAAGGTTTAATTACTAGTACATCAAGGTTTAATTACTAGCTCATCAAGGTTTAATTACTAGCTTATCAAGGTTTAATTACTTGTCCGTCAAGGTTTTATTACAAGCTGATCAAGATTAAATACTAGTTCATCTATGTTTCATTTCTATTAAGTCAAGGTTAAATTACTAGCTCGTCATAAACTGTCTTTTACTGTAACAAGTTTGTTAAATTTTTGTAGATTTTGTTGTTTTTAAATTCATTTTTTAAACAATACAATTTTCCCTAGTTCTTAAATAAAAGTTGAAACGAACTAAAGAGTTGAATGGATTTAAAAGTTCTAGAACAAAATAGATTAATCTTTTCAAGTTGAATAGCGGAAAAATGATAATGTTTTGGGCTAATAAAAATCTTTAATGAAATTTTATTTTATTTAGTTTTCTTTCAGTCCTTTCAAGGTCTTTGTGATTAATATATTTACATAAACTATAACTGAATTATTTTCTGAAAAATTTTGAAAAAAAATCCTTTCTTTACATTGAGGGTCTTGTTCATTCAAAATTTTGATTTCATAACAGATTTATTTAGGAGCTAGTGAGGGGGGGGTGGGGGAAGTATAATTTTTGTTGTTTTCAATTAAAAACTTGGAAAGCATTTATCGTTCTTTGGTAAACAAGTTTGGTTGTGGACCGGAGATCGGAGCATTGCTTCAGATGGAAGTCGTTTTTTCGGCTAAACCTTGATTTTGATTGAGGTCGAATGACCTTCGATCCCAAATTTTCTTTGTTATCCGTGTAGAACACCGCAATTGAAGGCTGTATGCAAAATGTGATCTTTTTATCTCAATTATTTTACACCTGAGTTAAGAAACTTCAAGTTGTTTTTGTTCTTCTAATAATTAGATGGTTTTGTAAAAAACTAGTTCTTACCANCCACCTAACCCCTCTTTCAGTATGTACTTACCTTGACAAAATACGTTGTCTTGACATATCTTGTTTTTTCTTGAGTTTTATTTTTGAATTCTAATTAAATCTATAAACAGGGTTTTTTCTAGTTCAATCAAAGAATTAATTTTCTATCAAATTATATCAAGAAAACAATGGACAAATACATTTATTATTTCTGAATTCTTTAAGACTGGAATTTACTTGACAAACTTAATAAACGAAGTTTTCCAACGTTGGATATTACTCTGAAAAAATGTTGACAGTCACTGTGTTAATGAAAGCAAGGCTAAACAATTTTATTTCCAAAAGTTTTGCAATACAGTGCTTAAGATACGGATCCGTTGGATCCGCTAGATTTTTGGAATTACCGGACCCGGATCCACGGGTGCAAGATATCTACTAAAAACTGAAGAAAATTTAGTTTGCTCTCTAAAACAAACTCTGAACTGTTAAAAAAGCGAGATTATTAAAATTTTCCTGTTTTCAGAATGGTTCATTAAGTTATATCAGAAAACTAAACGGAATAAAAAAAATTTAATTTTCTTTTGTTTAAATAATCAAGAAATCGTAAAGAAATGTTCTTGACCTGGATCCGGAGTGTTCTTTTTTCTAAGGCGGAAATGAAATTGATCCTAAGTATTGGTTGCAAATATATAATTGGAAATAAAAAGTTTATTTTCTTCAGATAAATGGAGTCCAGCACTTCAGATCCGCACCGTTCTACTCTCAATCCAGGTTGGATACCTTTATTTCAGTTTTCTTTTAATATTCCTAGATCTTCTATTCATACCCCCGTCCTAGTTTTTATTCCTTTATTCTTTAAACCTATCCGTCCTAGTTTTTTATTCCTTTAATCTTTAAACCCATCCCGTCCTAGTTTTTTATTCCTTTATTCCTTTATTCTTTAAACTCATCCGTCCTAGTTTTTTATTCCTTTATTCTTTAAACCCATTCCGTCCTAGTTTTTTATTTCTTAATTCTTTAAACCCATCCATCCTAGTTTTTCTTTCCTATATTTTTTAAACCCATCCCGTCCTAGTTTTTTTATTCCTTTATTCTTTAAACCCATCCGTCCTAGTTTTTTATTCCTTTATTCTTTAAACCCTCCGTTTTAGTTTTTTATTCCTTTATTCCTTAAACCCATCCGTCTTAGATTTTTATTCCTTTACTCTCTAAACCCATCCAAGGAATAAAAACTAGAACGGAGGGTTTAAAGAATAAAGGAATAAAAAACTAGGACGGATGGGTTTAAAGAATAAAAGATTAAAAAATTAGGACGGATGGTTGTAAAGAATAAAGGAATAAAAAACTAGGACGGGATGGGTTTAAAGAATAAAGGAATAAAAAACTAGGACGGATGGGTTTAAAGAATAAAGGATTAAAAATCTAGGACGGATGGGTTTAAAGATTTAAGGAATACAAAACTAGGACGGATGGGGTTAAGGAATAAAGGAATAAAAACTAGAACAGAATGGGTTTAAAGAGTAAAGGAATAAAAATCTAAGACGATGGGTTTAAGGAATATCTTGGATCTTTAAACCCATCCCGTCATAGTTTTTAAATTCTGGATCTATAAACCCATCCCGTCCTAGTTTTTTAATTCTGGATCTATAAACCCATCCCGTCCTAGTTTTTTATTCCTGGATCTTCAAACCCAACCCGTCCTAGTTTTTTATTCCGAAATTTTTAAACCCATCCCAGTTTTTTATTCCTCGATCTTACCCATTCTGTCCAAGTTCTTTATTTCTGGATTATTAAACCCGTCCCGTCCTTGTTTTTTTATTACTCGATCCGTCAAATCCATCCCGTTCTATTTTTTGATTCCTTGATCCTTTAAATCCATCCCGTTCTAGTATTTTATTCCTTGATATTTAAAATCCATCCCGTCCTGGTTTTTGATTCCTCGATCCTTTAAATCCATCCCGTTCCGTCCATATTTGTTCATTTCTGGATCCGTTTCACCTTTCACCTCGTCCCTTCTTAGTATTTGTGCTCCTGAATCCTTAAAACCCATCCTTTCCTAGATTCTTTTCCATTCCGTCCTCTTTAATATTCCTGGATCCCATCTCGTTCCTTCTCAGTTTTTGTATCTTTGTATCCTTTAAATCCATTCCGTCATAGTTTTTTAATCCTAGTTTTTTGTCCTTCTTTCTTTAACCCCAACCCTTCTAGTTTTCAATCCTAGTTTCTTCAGACCCAACCCTCCTAGTTTTTAATCCTAGTTTCTTTAATCCCAACCCATCCTAGTTTCTAATCCTAGTTTCTTAAAATCCAACCCTCCTTGTTTTTAATCCTTGTTTCTTCAAACCCAACTCTTCCTAGTTTTCAATTCTAGTTTCTTCAAACCCAACCCTTCCTAGTTTTTAAAACTAGATTCTTCAAACCCAACCCATCCTAGTTTTTAATCCTAATTTCTTCAAACCCAACCCATTCTAGTTTTTAATCCAAGTCTCTTCAAACCCAACCCTTTCTAGTTTTGAATCCTAATTTCTTCAATCCCAACCCATCCTAGTTTTTAATCCTTCAAACCCAACCCATCCTAGTTTTTAATCCTAATTTCTTCAAACCTAGTCCATTCTAGTTTTTAATCCTAGTCTCTTCAAACCCAACCCTTCCTAGTTTTTAATCCCTAATTTCTTCAATCCCAACCCATCCTAGTTTTTAATCCTTCAAACCCAACCCATCCTAGTTTTTAATCCTAATTTCTTCAATCCCAACCCATCCTAGTTTTTAATACTAGTTTCTTCAAACCCAACCCATCCTAGTTTTTAATCCTAATTTCTTCAAACCTAGTCCATTCTAGTTTTTAATCCTAGTCTCTTCAAACCCAACCCTTCCTAGTTTTTAATCCCTAATTTCTTTAATCCCAACCCATCCTAGTTTTCAATCCTAGTTTACTTTAAACCCAACCCATCCTAGTTTTCAATCCTAGTTTACTTTAAACCCAACCCATCCTAGTTTTAATAATATTCTATGTCAGGCTCTACTCTCTGCCCCTAACCCTGATGATCCTTTAGCTAACGATGTTGCTGAACTATGGAAGGTAAATGTTGGTTTATTAGGCTTTCACCCAATATTTTATTTTATACAATACAAACATATATCGGGGGTCTATATTATTCCATCTGATCAATCCCAAATGTTGATTGATTGATAAAATGGGCAGAAATAAACCATGTTGTTATTGTAAACAATTGGAAGTATAATGTCAAGTTGTAGAGAAAATTCCATACTGCAGAATTTATACTGCAAGGGAGTGTTTATTTTTCTGTATATTATAATTTATCTCATATTGAATACTAATATTTACATCTTTTAACACCCCAAATGCGGTACACATTTCTAAAGTGTAGTACACGTACACAAAGACTTGTCAAAGTTCACAATGACTTGTCATAGTTCACAATGACATATAAAGTGTACTTTCATGCCCCTAAATGACTTTCAACCCCGATCCCATTTGGGATCAGAAATGGAATTATATGGTGTAGTTTAAATATTTAAATATTTCAAATATATGTTTTTACAGAAATAAACTGAAAAATTATGCAAAAAAAGGCGCAATTGATCACTACTCATTACATACCATATATTTAATATTTATCATTAAATTTATTACGTTATTATAGAATCCTTCAACATCTAAATTATTCATTCTTTCATTTCATAATTGTTCTTGTAAAATGGGAACTTTCCAGGCATACTCCACTGGGATATCAATATTAAATTGTTTCTTTTATAATATGATAAAAGATTACTTACCTTATGAAATCTTTAATTCTTGCAATGCTCAACACCAATTTTTGTAACTTTATTATATTTTAAACAACTATCATAATTTATAGGTTTAAGAGTATGAAAGGTCAGGTTAAAATAATTAAGAGCTTGAGACTAGAAATCAGTTTTATGTTTTATCTTTATTTTTGCTTTTAATTTTCAAAAGAGGGGGTGGGCCGGGGGAGAAAAATAATTTTTCTAGAAAATAAACACCCCTGATTCTGAAAGAGAAAATAAACAACCCTGAAAGAATCACGACAACATTTGAGTAAGCAGAAACTAGAACAGATTAGAATTTTTTACGATGGTTTAAGGTCTGATATTGGTTTGAATCACAACTGGCAACTTAAAAAATCATTCTCCTCCTCATAAATTATTCCCCCTCCCCCCCCTGATAGGGATGTTTTTTAGTGAATGTGGGGAAAAAATTGATTTCAAGCCTTTAGGCGAAAATAAATGTTTTTTTTGCTTATGTTTCCTAACAAATGGAAAAATTTGAAAGTTGATGTCCTACATTTTATATTTTTTTGTTAAAGTTTTAAAAAAGTCATTAAGAAAACTATGATCGAAAATTAATAATTTTTTGGCAATGTGTGCAACAAAAAATTGACAAATTTATGGGTTGATATCCAATATATAAAACAAACAAAAAATAAAAGTCATTAAGAAAAATGAGCAATTTAAAGTCCAATATTTTAAATATTTTTTTCTATAAGTCATAAAAAAAGTTATTGAGATTTTTTGTCAACATGTGTACTTAAAAAGGAATAAAGGAAACTGGATACTCCCGAGTTTTAGAAAAACTTAAATAGATATCTTTAAACAACGTTTTTAGATCAGCTGACTATACATGATATACACAATATAGAATACATTTTGTTTTATTTATATCCCAGAGTAAAGCGGATGTTTTCTCTTTGAAAATAAATAGTTTATTATGAAAAACAAAGTGCAAGTAAGCTTTTAATGCTTTTTTAACTTGTTTTACTTTATCAAAAGAGTTAAAATTGCCACAATGTTTTTTATTACATTTCATTAAAAAACAAAATTCAATTTTATTAAAGCTTGAAAGTTTCGATCGATCGATCGGAAAATAATTTTTTTTTGAGGTTTATCATTATGCTTTATCTTTTTTTATTGAGCTAAATTAAAAATAAAAAAAAAATCAATTTCACATCTCGCTTAAAATATTGAGGGTTTATAATTAAGTTATTATTTACCTCCTGTATCCTGGTATATATCTGTTTTCTCTCAGCCTCTGTTACCTGAGGGCGAGTAAAATTGATATTTGATATTTACCCATAGGGTGTTAATCTCATATATATTGCTGTTGTCGAGCTTTATGTGCAGCCATATCTTCTATACTTTGCTGGTCTGTCTGTACGTTTTTATCCAAAAAACGTTAAAACGGCTAAATCGATCGGGCCCATCTTTTATGCACATAAACACTGAACTTCTCAGACTATTCATGAAAACTAACAGAACTAAATAATTTATCTGGATTCTTTTTTTGTAGATGTAGTTGAATAATTGTTACGTATTTAGATAAATGAGCCGGAAGCCCTGAAGAATGCTCGAGATTGGACCAGGAAACACGCAATGGGAAATTAAACAATTTTTTCGCCATAATATTAATGATGTAAATCATTCTTAATATTATACTCCATAAACTAATATTAATGTTAATATAACAATGCTTTCGCAGTATCAGTTTCTACTTTGTGTAGAAAATTAAACATATTCTACACAAGGTTTATTAAACTTCAGTTTTAAATTGTGATAAATATGCTTTTTACTTGTATTCCCTTGGATTCCTCCTCAACAGTTTACATCATCTGTTTTATGTAAACCCTAAGTCGACATTGTTTCAAGAATAGAAAGGAAATAAATCTTATAAAAATATCAAGGAATTTTTATTTTATTTGTCAGGCATCGAGGATATTTACAATTTGTTGATTGTTTCGGAAAAAACTAAATTTATACTTAAATTTATTTCACTTCATTTCTAAAATTTCATCATTTATAAAAAAGGCTATAATTGTAAACTTTTACTGATGTTTTAAGTTCACAAGACATGACGATGGTCATTCTAGTAAGAAAACGTGAAGCAATAAGTCTCTAACTGGAGAGCTTATAAATTAAAAAGAATTATTTAAATTTTATAAGCTAATAGTTTTGTTCTGAGGTGAAGGATGGATTAATCTGCTGAACAATCCAGAGATAATTTCAAGAATGTAAAGTTGTGAAAAACTTGAAGCAAAAACTCAAAGTGTTTTCACTATTCATATACATACAGAGCGTCCCACATCATATTGGATTATCTCCAGGCTTTAACGCCTAAATACGCACATAAAACTTAGAAAAAACTGGTATTCTTCTATATGCAAATTTTTATATTAGGCTTATACAATTTTTTAAAATGATTCATTATCTTAAGATTTTCTGATTAGTCGCATAAAGCGCAATTTAGAGCCATAATGATCCAAAATAATGTAAATGAGGTTGAAAGATGAATTCTGCAAATCATTCAAAACAAAAATTGTCAAGAAATTCCGTTTTGCGAATATCCCTTTATTTTGCTCTCTTTAAATTAAACTATTCAGTGGGATACATTGTACACAGTACACACAATACAAAAACTTTTATGTGTCTTTTTTATTAAACGAAGCAGGAACACGGGTGCACATCTTCCTGTAAAATCATTTCCTCCCCCTCTTTCGAGAATCATTTTTTTTCTGCAGAAGATTGGTATGATTGCGCGGAGCGAACATATATTTCAAGGGGTTTATTGGCTGAATTTGGGAGTAATAGATGAGTTTCAGGGGGAAATAAATTTTTGGATATAAACAGGGGGATTGGTAGATAACTACCTGCTCTATTGTACAGGGGGTTGGTAGATAACTACCTGCTCTATTGTACAGGNTTGGTAGATAACTACCTGCTTTATTGTACAGGGGGGTTGGTAGATAACTACCTGCTCTATTGTACTGGGGGGTTGGTAGATAACTACCTGCTCTATTGTTTAATTTAGCTTGAGTGTGCAACTAATACGGTTTACTGTTTATTGTTTCCCATCCCCGAGGGGGGGGGTCATCTTTAAAATATATACCCCCTGAGCGAGCTAGAATGTAGTTTAGCTTCATTGGTTTCATTGAAGTTAGTTTCACCTAATTAGTCACCACTCTCCTTCGTGTGTAATTAACCCTTTTACCTTATTTTCAAAGTTTTTTCGTAAAAAAAAACTTATATTTCAGTACCACTACATACTCTTGGCAATTAGAGCCATGTGTACTGGGCTGGAGATTTCGTGTTAGATACTCAAAAATCCCGATGACTTGATTTCGAAATCCATTGTGGGCATTTTGAATTTGAAAATCAATGCTTAATCTCTTCTATTCAGTTATTCCTCCGGGGTACGATTACTATCCGGGATAGACTAGATTAATCTGCAGGTTAACAACAGATCTGGGTTAATCATGGCTCTCTTTAATATTTATAACTAACTCTCACTCATTCATAAATTCCCAACTTAACTCTACCATTTTTACCATCTACTGATCTGTATATCATGTATAGAGCTAGGGTTTGAACAGTTTATTTCAGATTAGAAGGTTATTAAAACTGTTTATATAAATTTTATATACAGGGTGTCCCAAAAAACATGGGAATTCAGTGACGATTTCAATATCGTCTTTAAAACAATTCTTTGATTTAGTATAGTAATACCTACTGAGAAAGCTGTAATCTGTAAGAGTTTCGTCTGCTATGTTCACTTTTTGTTTGTTTATATTTTGACTGCATACGGTTGCACTTATTAATGCAAGAAAATTGCAGTATACAAACAGAGTGAACTTGTCCGTCTTCACTGTTCATCTTGCGGAGACATTATAGACACATCTTTACAGCCATTTACCGTTTTCATAAAATAAACTCTAGCAGACATAATAATATTATGGCCTTTGAAATTAGGTATTACCATGCTAATTCATAACAAAGACGATATCGAATTCGTCACTGATTTCCCATGTTTTTGGGACACACTGTATTTGGGTCCGTGGGACTTTCTAAACTTTTACACGGGTTCATTTTTCAAGTTAAAGATTAAAAAAATAAAATGAAGAAAAGATCAAAATATTTTTAAATAATGAGGAAAAGATCAAAATATTAAAAAAGAAAATGAAGGAAAGATCAAAATATTCAAAAAAGAAAATGAAGAAAAGATCAAAATATTCAAAAAAAAATTAAGAAAAGATCACAATATTGAAAAATAGAATAAAGAAAAGGTCAAAATATTAAAAAAGTAAAAAAGAAAAGATCTAAATGTTAGAAAAGAAAATGAAGGAAACATTCAAAATATTAGAGGAAAAATGAATGAAAGATCAAAATATTAACAAGGAAAATAAAGAAAATATAAATTTTAAAAAGAAAATGAATGATTCCTGTTTTTTTCTGTGAACCCCCTATTTTTAATCTATTTTTTGTTTTATGATTCAAATATTACAAGATATGTCTATCTTATGACAATATAAACAAAAGCCACATGCATTGACTGATATTAAGATATGTCCACAGCTGAGTAGTTGTTATAAACTAAAATGTTCAATATATCAAAGCTTAAAATATCAAGAAGTTTACTTTAAATTTTACTTTTACTTTAAATTGACAAATTATGTATCTTTACGGTTTTAAATATACTTACTCGATTATCGTAGCAGTTAGCACCAGTCTGATGAGAGCGTATAATGCTCACAGTCGTCAGAATAACTCTAGACCTTCTCAATAATGTTCTAAGAGAGTCTAGAGCTACTTTACAAAGTACTGGTGAGAATGTGCACGCTCTCATCTGACTGAGCCCAAAATTTAAGACAGGGTATCGTTATGAAAACCATTTTTATAACCCGGGTTTTACGAATGGGATTAAGCAGTTTTGTGGATATCGATATTTTTGTTATGAAATATTTGTTTCTTCCTATTCTCCATTTTTCTCGAATCTCTCAAATAAAAATCTACAAAATGTTAAGACCCCAAAAAGGAAACTCAAGGGTTTCGTTGAACGATACTCTTTTAAATTTCGGGCTCTGGTGCTATACGATGAGTATAAGTATAATATCTAAAACAATGTTGTTCACAAAGTTACACCCAGGCCATGGAGTCACGAACATTCTAAAGGAATTGAGTCTTTGCTACAAACTTAAATTGTCGCATCCTAAACTCTTTTCAACCTGATGGTGTAAATCTGTGAGATTCCAAACTTAGATTTGTTTATCTACTAGAATTTAAAGTTTGAAATATCCTAAGTCTACGAAATTGGGTTGCAAAGATATAGGGGTTATACAATCAGAGTTTGTGGCAACGATTTAATTCCTTTTGCGGAAAATTATAGCGTTACAGTGCGGTAGGATATAGGTATCAAAATTTAAATTGCTTTCAAATTTCAAGAAAAAATGTCTAACTTTCAACTAGGAACCTATTAAACCCCATCGTACATCGCTCAGTATTACATTCAGTGTACATGTACATGTACATCGCACAGTATTCAGTCTACATGTACAATTTACAGTTTACATAGTACAGTGTGCTGATTGAATTGTGCAGTGTACAGTTTATATTGTACAGTACACAGTCTACATATATATAGTACATTGTACAATGTACATTGTGCAGTGTATATTGTACAGTGTACATGCTGTAAATTTAATAGTGTACAATTTACATATATTAATAAAGAAAACAATTGATCATGTACTGCGTACAGATAAGAATTTTGTACATAAAAAGGGAACATATATTATATAAAGGTTTCCGTATTCTTCTCCACCATCTCTCTAATTAGATAAATGTCAACTTTAGATCAGAAATAACAAATGTAATCTTAAACTAAATTATTAACGATTATTTGGTTCAAATGTTGTTTTCAGCATCGAAGTGATAATAGATTTTGTGCAATAGATTATTATTATATTTTTATTATTATGATTATTATTTTATAGATTATTATTAATCTTCAAATAGATTATTTTTAGCAGGAGTGCACGCTGCGTTTTCCAGGTTTATATTATTATTCAAAGTTAATCACACCGTTCACCCGAGTTTGATATTTAATCATGATTTTAGCTCACGTGTCCGGCGTTGCCCGTAAAATTTAAAATATTTTGTCCAGCTAACTGTTTGTCCAACTAATAACTATAGCGAAATATATATGAATATATATCTAAACATGTTCCTCGAACTTTAACTACATTGTAACTTTGTATTCCCGTTAAAAAGTGCATTGTAATTGTACAAAATTGTATTTTAAAAGTTTCTTCTTCGCCTAATTTGTCAGTGGAAATCTAATAAAAGTCTTGAATAAATGCTAAGAAAGTAAGATAACTTTATTTAAGAGCTAGAAAATAAATCAATATTAGTTACTACCAATAAATCATATTGTTTATTCTTAATCTTTATATTTACGTAAAATCACGACCAAACCAATTTTAAAAATGTTAATTTTGGGAAGCAACGAAAACAAAGTAAGAAATTATATCTGATTAAAGGGCATGGGATCGGACGATTATACATTTTTCATCCATGGTCATTCTTACAAATTCTAAAAAACCTTTTAAAAAATACAGTGTTTGTATGCCTTCCTAACTCAAACAAATGAGAATTATTCTGAACTGAAAGAGTTTAAGCCTAATTTCGTGACCTTACTTTGAAAACTAACTAATTTAATCAGCAAAAGTGACCTGCGCACATTTCTACTGCAGGGTTCTCGTTTGAACAGTAAAACAGAATGTTGCTTCTTGGGTAATTTATTGGAATAATCAGAATTAAAAATGTAAAACCTAAGAGACCGATTTGACTCGGGTATTGTTATACTATAAAAGCTAATTTTACGATGATTAATATGCTATTTGTGT